CCAACTGGATAGTCCCGGGATCCTCCTCACTTAAGACTGATCGTAAGATTTGTGCGCTCTTTCCTACCGTTTCTTCGGCGCCCTTGTCGCACACTTCTGTAGTGTACTTTTCTAGAAGCACCTCGAGAGTTAGCTGCTCCCTTGCGTTGGTAGGCGGCGGCACCGCCGTCGTGACGGGTTCCTTAACACCCTTTACCGGTTTCGACTTGCATGCATCTCTCAAACTTTTACGTTTGTCAGACACCTGTTTATTTGTCTTTCCCGGCAAGAGTAAAGCTATCGCCTTATTAATGTTTTTGGAACCTGCCAACTCTTCGCTTAACGCTTGGAGCTTTTTGACTTCTTCCTCACTCCAGACTCCTCTTGGTTTGGATTTGGACTTTTTGTCAGTATTTGAGCCGACTTCTTCGATTCTTGTTCGATTCACCCGTTTCCGTTCTTTATCCTTTTGCACATTTTGGATCCGGTGGGTGTTCCTCAGATCCGGATGTGCGTGTCTCTCGTGTTGGCCTAGGCCCTTTTTCGACTTGAAGTTTCTCTCACAGATTGTGCAGGGGAATTGCGCCTCCACACTTTCTGCCACCGAGGGATCGGCTTCGACTGAACTCATGGAGTCCGTTTCAGCCTGGTCTTCTGGTGCTATCGGAGAAGTTGCTGACAGTGAAGCGACTGCGTCTGAAGGATCTGCTGGTCGTAGCTCCCCTTCGTGTACAGTCTTGCTTGTATCGCCCTTCTTGCTCAATCGTTTTCTACATTTAGGGAAGTGGCAGGCTGTTTGCCTCAGACGATTTCGGTTTGTGCCACATGCGGCGCATTGGAAAGACAGGAACACGTTGCTGTGTTGTGTCTCGAAGTGTTTGGCCATGTCCTTTGCCTGTGTAAAGATTTCCCTGCATTTTATGCAGGTACTCCTGTGAAATGGAATAATGATAAACGCCGTGCTATCATCCTCAATCCGAACCTCCCTAGTGGGTTCATTTTCACAGCTTTGCGGCTGCATCGACTCTGGCTCAACTGCACTTGATGTACCTAGATCGTCGTCGTGGGCAAGCCAGCTTGGCAATTTGTTCCACTCGATTCTTTTTCCATCTAAGAAACAGAACCCATGTGTGATCAGTATAGGTGGTATCATCCTGATCGTGCTGCAGGTTTCGTCCACACCAGAGCCCTGCAACGGTTGCTCCAGTGTAAGCTCTCGTCCATCCATGATGACGCAGGATTGAGCCGTCCCGGCCATGGAAAATCCAGATGTCGCCATCTAAATTGAGTCTAAGTCTAAAACTATTGAAATAGCTTTGTACTCGCTTTTATGTGTTTTTGTTAAGAAGTCAGTTGTAGAACACAACCTATTCTTTAATGCGTTTAAACAATTTTTGTCTATCGTATAAGACTTCACTCGTCTATGATAGTACGACTCTCACATATCGGGTATGTATTGCTTAAGAGAGTCATAGTTACTCCCGCCGTTTACCCGCGCTTGATTGAATTTCTTCACTTTGACATTCAGAGCACTGGGCAGAAATCACATTGCGTCAACACCGGGTGACGGCCATCGCAATGCTTTGTTTTAATTAGACAGTCGGATTCCCCTGGTCCGTACCAGTTCTAAGTTGGCTGTTAGTCGCCGGACGAAGCTAACGACCGCGAGAGCCGCAGCACAGCTGAGGCAGTCCACGCGACGGTTAAGACAGCGGTCCGAGCTCGACCTAAACTCCCCCCGAAAGAGAAGCCGGCCTCGCCCAGCCCGTGCCCGTCCCAATCACGCTTCGTACTCCAGCCCGACCGGCCCAGCCCTTAGAGCCAATCCTTTTCCCGAAGTTACGGATCCAATTTGCCGACTTCCCTTACCTACATTGTTCTATCGACTAGAGGCTGTGCACCTTGGAGACCTGCTGCGGATATGGGTACGGTCCGGCACGAAAGTCACCGTGTCTCCCTCGGATTTTCAAGGGCCGACGGAAGTGCTCCGGACACCGCAAGAGCCGCGGTGCTTTGCGGGATCGACGTCCCTATCTCGGGGCAAACCGATTCCAGGGAGGCCTGTCCCTTAAGAAGAAAAGAGAACTCTTCCTGGGACTTCCGCCGACGTCTCCGAGTTCGTTTGCGTTTTGGTCCTCTCTTAGCAGCGAAGAAAAGTTGTAGCAAGGAAAAATTTATTTGGCTTTGAAAAGTTTTTCAAGGGAGAGCCGCGAAAGGACCGGGCGACCGGCCGAGTGTCCACCGCTTGGCAGCGGAGAACAAATATAGCCAGGGGAAAGACTGGGGTGGGAAGCCGCGGACGAGATCTCGAGCGGGCTATCGCGCGTCTCTCCACGTATAGGGGAAAAAAATAATGTGAAAATGCTACGAAGTGATATTGAATGTTGAATATTTGCTTTTACAGCGTTGGTAAGTCCTTCGGAGACAAGGCACCTCCTTCCAAGACCAGGAAGGAGGAGGAGACAACTCCTTCCAAGACCAGGAAGGAGGATACTATGAAGACAGAAGATGACTTGTACGGTAAGTTTAGCAATCGTAAACTTCTTTAATTTGAACGCGTTCGATACATTTGTAGGACGGATTACATTTGAAAATTACTGCGAGTGTGAAAATGTTACCTAATAAATGTTCGTACTTATTTTGCAGATTCTTCGGCCGAGGGGTTTGTCGCCCGCACTATTGCGGAGTCTGAGGCCGTTTCCGCGGGAACTGATGTTCCAGCTGTGGCTGTTGACGTGCCAGCGGAGGAGCCAGTGTCTGACGCTAGTTCCGATGATGTTAATGATCCAACAGAAGCTGACGAGCCAGTTCGAGGAAGGAAGAGGATGGCCGTCACGAAGAGGTACCAGGGTGACACGGTGAGTTTCATGTTATCATAAGGGGGAAATGTTCATCGGTGAGCCGCATACATGGTTTATGTGGGTTACAGCGGGTGCCTCGACGACCAGGGGAGAAAAAAATATGCCTTCTTTAAAAAATTAAGAATTAGCCTTACTGTGTCGGACCCAAGCAGGACCCAAGCAGTGAAAAGGCTGACACGAGGACCTAAGCGATGACATTCGCGGACCTAAGCAGTGACAATTGGACCCAAGCGTATTGTCACTGGGGATGTCATATGGCTGACCCAAGCACAGCGTCACCGTGTCGGGACCCAAGGACCCAAGCACAGTGTCGGGCCCAAGCGATGCGAAGGTGTCAGGACCCAAGCGGCACAATTTAAACCAGAGTGTAGCAAAGTGTATTGGGTGGAAAATAATGATTAGGCAGGATACTTAATCGTTCGGTAGAGTCTCCCCTTGAGTCACGGGGAGGCAATAACAAGGTGACCCACTGTAAATACTTTTCCCTTTAATATAGGTTAGGTGGCTCTCTTAACGTTAAGATTTCCACCCCGACGGTTATTTCGCTGGTGCGGGTAGCTCGGGGAAGTATTCATGGGTGATTAACCGATTTTTCTATTTATTTCAGATAATGGAAAAAATATGCCTTCTTTGAAAAATTAAGAAATAGCCTTACTGTGTCAGACCCAAGCAGGACCCAAGCAGTGAAAAGGCTGACACGAGGACCTAAGCGATGACATTCGCGGACCTAAGCAGTGACAATTGGACCCAAGCGTACAATTGGACCCAAGCGTATTGTCACTGGGGATGTCATATGGCTGACCCAAGCACAGCGTCACCGTGTCGGGACCCAAGGACCCAAGCACAGTGTCGGGCCCAAGCGATGCGAAGGTGTCAGGACCCAAGCGGCACAATTTAAACCAGAGTGTAGCAAAGTGTATTGGGTGGAAAATAATGATTAGGCAGGATACTTAATCGTTCGGTAGAGTCTCCCCTTGAGTCACGGGGAGGCAATACCAAGGTGACCCACTGTAAATACTTTTCCCTTTAATATAGGTTAGGTGGCTCTCTTAACGTTAAGATTTCCACCCCGACGGTTATTTCGCTGGTGCCGGTAGCTCGGGGAAGTATTCATGGGTGATTAACCGGTTTTTCTATTTATTTCAGATAATGAATAGGAAAGAAAAAAGCACTAGAGGAGGCCGTGACGGAACCGCACCCACGGCCAAAAAAGGTAAGTTTGAAAATATGCTCTCTGACGACTCCCCGGTAGTAAGGCCATCAGGGGCCGAAGCCACACAGATTCCCAAGCCGAATCTGCCTCGCCTTCTCGATGGTGTCACTCGCCTTGAAGTACGGAAGGCGAAAAAGCTGAATTTCTTGGGAGTTAAAGTCCGGCCTGCAGTCTCTAAGCTTGGAAGAGACCTTGCACCACAGGGGCCGGATGATTATATGTGTGGTCTCCTTGACAAAATCAGGACTTTTACGGGAGAATACGTTCCGTCGAAGAAAGGGATTAGTACATCTATTCCGATGCTCATCGGCGGTGTGTACAATGAAAAGTTCTGGCGAGCAGCTTGCTCGCAACAGTTTCCCTTTGTAGAACATCATGCGGTGAACGAGTTTGGCAAGCCGACCCTAAGGTATACTTATGAAAGAGAGGGAAAGCCGGTGCGGACAACCAAACTGGGCGTAATAGTTAAGAGGATCAAGTATTTTGATGACATGTATCACCACTCCTCAAACCAGTTCTCGGATGACGCTATCTCTCCAGAACTGAGCTTATTCACGTTCGAAGTGACAGTTTCAAATTTGGAAGATCCTCCTAGAACAGAGGATGGTACACGTTGCCCGCCCCCGACCCTCAAAGCCTACAAGCGCAAGAGCGTGAAACACCAGTTAGCGCTTAAGGCCATACTGGAGCGCATGCCTAAAGGTCGACCGAAGAATGAGTTCAACGCCGCATGGATACCGGAGGAGGAACGGCTGCCAAGCAAACCCAAAGCACTTCTCCCCGCTTCCTCCGTAGCAGCGGCTCCGTCCGAGGTGGACATGTCTCTGTCCAATACCTATGTCCCGGCGTTTGTGCAGTACACAACTCTCCGTGAGGCTAAAATAGGGAAAAGAAAGGCCCTGTTAGCCAAGAAAGCAAAGGCGGCGGAGGCGGCTGAGGCGGCCAAGATGAAGGACGCAGAAGTGGCTGCTATCACGAGGGCTGCCGAGGAGGCCAGAAAGGTTGCGGCCACGAAAGCTGACGAGAAGGCCAGAAAGGCTGAGGCCCAGAAGGCTGACGAGGCCAGAAAGGCTGACGAGGAGGCCAGAAAGGCTGAGGCCCAGATGGCTGACGAGGAAGCAAGAAAGGCTAAGGCCAAGAAGGTTGACGAGGAGGGCAAGGAGAGGGCAGCCGCTAAGGCCAAGAAGGCGGCCAAGAAGAGGGCCACGAAGGAAGCCGCGGAGGAGTTGCTCGTTCTAAGCAAGAGAGCGATAATGGCGGCCAAGTGGGCAGGAAAGGGTTTGATGGATTTGACGGCAATTGCTGATGACGAGGAGGCCAGAAAGGCTGAAGCCCAGAAAGCTGACGAGGAGGCCAGACAGGTGAAGGCCCAGAAGGCTGACAAGAAGGCCAAAAGGGCAGCTCTGGCCCAGAAGGCTGACGAGGAGGCCAGAAAGGCTGAATCCCAAAAGGCTGCCGAGAAGGCAAGAAAGGCTGAGGCCCGGAAGGCTGACGAGAAGGCAAGACAGGCCAAGGCTGACAAGAAGGCCAGAAAGGCTGAAGCCCAGAAGGCTGACGAGAAGGCAAGACAGGCTGAGGCCAAGAAGGCTGACAAGAAGGCCAGAAGGGCTGCTAAGGCCAAGAAGGCTGACGAGGAGGCCAGAAAGGCTGAAGCCCAGACAGCTGACGAGAAGGCAAGACAGGCCGAGGCCCAGACGGCTGACGAGGAGGCCGAGGACTGTCACCCTTTGGAGACTGAGGAAGAAGATGAAACGATCAAGATATACGTCGCCACCCCGCTTTACCGGGACAATACGGAGTCGCAAGAGAAGTGCACAGTGCCCAAGGACTCAATCGTGCAAGAAGTGGATTTGAACGCGGAGGCAGACGAGCAGAGTCTACGCATCGATGAAGAGTCGGCTGTATTTTCCCTCGGAACTCCCCTTCACATGAATTTTGGAGTGGGAGCGGTACCTCTGGGCTTGTCCTTAAATGCCACACGACAAGTAGCAAGCGATCCTTTACCTACAGCGGTTGCCGTGCCAATTGCTTCGGCGCCTGTCGTCGACCACGAAGAAGTTGACCAGGCACTGGAGAGCCAATCTGACTCTGAAGATAATAGGGTTGATAGATAAAGGCAGGGAAAATCCGACCGTCAGCGATCAGGCAGCCGGGACAACAACAACTGCCACTCTGTCTGACGCTCAGGCCAAAAAAATGCTCGCCATGAGTGGGCGGTCGCCATGGGACGTCGGACAGCCGGCAAGGTGCGTGAAAAGGTGCACAAAGGGGAAGATCAGACTCTGCAAATCTGCCAAATCTGCCACCAGGCGAAGTCCGGCCACATGAGGCGTCACCTGAAGAAGGGTCATAGGCTCTGCAATGAGGAGATCGACGACCTCCTGAAGCAATGGAAAGAAAAAAACTCCAGCGAACCAAAATAGCCTCGTCTGTAAAATCTGTAGAACTGAGCAAACCAGGTTGAAGCGCCATCTTCAGCAGGTCCACAAAATGAGAGACAATCACCTGATAAATGACCGCATCTCAGTCGCTGCCTCCCTACGCCCAGTTGGCGGTGTCGACCGCTTAGATAGTCGTCCTCTGGAATTATATCAGAAGGTCATGGAGGACTTCGTCGAATTTCTCCAAAGACGTGGTGGAGAAGAGGAACGCCTTCAAGACTGCTAACTCTGGTTGGTACATTGTATTTAGTTATCGGCCAACACTGTTAATTTTGATCACTGTTTGTAACAATAACATGCACTGAAAAATTTACATTTATTTTTACAGGGAAGGACGAGGAGGCCAAGGCTGCGAGAAGCGTGAAGAAGGAGGAAACATTTATCGGGGCCCAGTTGAAGAAGCAGACGGAGTCATTCAAATGTTTCCAGAAGTCTCCCACACTTCTCCAACAGGACCCTCACCCAGGAAGACAGTACCTTTCTTATAAAAGAGGCACGCGCACCGGAGGAAGTCCTTGCGGTTTGCTGACCAGCTCATCCCAGAGGCAGCAGCGCCCTCAGCACAGGAGATGCAGGGTATGTATTATGAGTACTATTTCTTTTCATAACTGTTCTATATGATTGTGAAAATGCTACGCGTAATTGTCATAATGCTACGCATAATGATAAATACTGTACACATACATTGCAATTATTTGTTTTTTTACAGAGTCCACCAACATATTCCACGGACGACAGCGGTAAGTTTATAATAAGAGTTTTCATCGGAAAGCCCGTGGTTGAAATTTCTCTATGCGGAGGAAGAGTGCGGTTGGAAACCGTGGACAACCGGCCGCCTTGTTCCTCTCTTAGCAGCGAAGAAAAGTTATAGCAAGGAAAAATTTATTTGGCTTTGAAAAGTTTTTCAAGGGAGAGCCGCGAAAGGACCGGGCGACCGGCCGAGTGTCCACCGCTTGGCAGCGGAGAACAAATATAGCCAGGGGAAAGACTGGGGTGGGAAGCCGCGGACGAGAGCCCGAGCGGGCTATCGCGCGTCTCTCCACGTATAGGGGAAAAAATAATGTGAAAATGCTACGAAGTGATATTGAATGTTGAATATTTGCTTTTAAAATCAGATAAAAAGTCTTTCAACAAACTAAAATTCCAGACTAAAGCAAATTGATTATTTACAAATAAGAATCAACACTAAGATAACGTGATAAAAATTAAAATCGTTTTAGATATAACAACATTTTTTATATTTTATAATATATTCCAATTTCTTTTAAGAATGAAACAATATTTGTAAATGGAACATTATTAAATAAATCATACATATTATTGATATTGAAATGCTTCTTCCGAATATCAGCAAAGTCAATACAATTAATCAAAACATGTTTAATAGTATACTTGCAGTTGTAAGGTACACATTGTGGTTCATCTTCATTTTTTAAAAGATACTCGTGTGTCACTCTAGTATGACCAATTCGGCATCTAGAAATAACACACTGATCTTTTCTGCACATTAAATTATTAAAAGGTTTACCTAAATTAGGTTTAATTTCATGTAATTTGTTACCATCTCTCTTACTCCATTCATTTTACAAAATATTAAAAACATATTCTCTAATATTAGATTTAAAATCGGTATATGGTATATCACAGTTAGATAAAGTGTCACCCAGGGCATTCTTTGCCTCAAAGTCTACAGCTGTGTTTCCATGGATTCCAACATGACTCGGCACCCATAGAAATATGATTTCTTTAAGAAGAATTTTTAAATTCCTCATTACATATAAAATTTTGAGAATTGTTGGGTTTTTAATCTTAGTATTTTGTATAGCTTGTAAGCATGAAAGTGAATCAGAACATATAATAAATTTGGATTTATCTGAAGAAGCAATAAATTTCGAAGCCAAAACTATTGCTTCTGCTTCAGCAGTAAAGATGGATGCAGCAGATGGCAAACGGAGAGTTGCAACTCTGTCCCTGAAGACAGCAGCAGATGCAACTCTGTCACCATCTTTTGATCCATCAGTATAGACAGTTGAAAAATCTGAATAATTGGCTTAAATTTCAGCATAGTGTTGCTGAATTCAAAGAGGATTTGTTTCATTTTTATTGTGTTTACGGAGATCAAATATCATTTTTGGTTTGGGAAGTTCCCATGTAGGACATTTGCAATTTTCAACTTGAGCAACAGATTTTAAGTCAAAAGTACTTTAGTAGCTAAATGTGGTTTTAAACGTATACCTAACGAAGGAATTTTGTTTTCATGTTTTGCAAAAATATCTTTATAAATTGGATTAAAAACACAGCTGTAGGCAGGAATATCTGAATAGGCTTTTAGTTTGACAGCATATTGAAGTCCAAGCTTCAAACGTCTGTCAAAAAGTGAATGCTCATCAGCCTCTACATACAGACTCTCAACTGATGAGGTTTTAAAAGCGCCAAGACAGAGACGCAAACCCTGGTGATGCACAGCATCGAGAATCTGTATGTAGGACTTCCGTGCAGAGCCATACACTATAGAGCCATAATCTAGTTTGGATCTAACTAGAGATCTATATAAATTAAGTAAAATGTTGCGATCAGCACCCCAGTCGGTGCTGCCGACAACTTTTAAAATATCTAATGATTTTAAACATCTTGATTTTAACATTTTGATATGGGGGAGAAAGGTTAATTTTTTATCAAAAACTAACTCTAGAAATTTGGTTTCATCAACCATTTTAATTGGGTTTCCATATAAAGTGAGTTCTGGATCAAGATGCAATTTCCTTTTGTTACAGAAATGCATCCCAACCGTTTTAGATGAGAAAAATTTAAAACCATTTTCTGAGGCCCATTTTTCGATTCTTCCGAGACACAGTTCCAATTGGCGTTCTATGTTAGTAGTGTCAATAGGCCGATTCTGCGGCACTTGCCATTTTAAGCACAGATTCAGCATAAGAACCCCAACCCCAAACATAAAATCCAAACGCAATACGTTTCAATTAGCCTAAGGGTAAAAACAAGAATGTCTTTCAGTTTAGCACAAAACCCAAACACCTTAGAAGGATGTAATCCTAGGGTAAATACAAATATGTCTTTTACACAAAACCCAAACACCTTAGAAGGATGTAATCCTAGGGTAAATACAAATATGTCTTTTACACAAAATGTCAGAGATACCCCAGCCCCAAATACCTTAGAAGGAAGCATTCCCCAAATTGATATACATGAAGGGATGGCATCCAATAGTGTTGATATGAATATGGATCAGTTCAAAGAGAATGAAGAACTCAAAACTTGTGGTGCTCCACTAAAAAGAAAGAAGGGGCAGTTTTGTAAGAGTAAACCAGGGAAAGATGGGCTTTGCTGGAGACACAGTAAAGAACCACGCCAGCAGGAGGATACCCAAGTTGTAGGGAATATTGTGGTGAAAACCACCATGAAAGAACTTCGAAAAATCGCAAAGAAGGAGGGTCTTAAGGGATATAGTAGGAAACCCAAGGGGGAATTGGTTAAGTTAATTGAGACCAATACTGCCCACAAATTTACTCGCGAAGAGGTTTTTACCAAAAAGGAACTGAAGACCATTGCCAAAAGACGGGGAATTACCAACTATTCCCGACTAGGGAGAGCTGACCTGACCGAACTGGTGAAAAAGAACATTGAAAATGCCCCCGTTGAAGAGGAAATCAAAATTGTTAACCGACGCGATGCATTGAAAGGTGTATTTGGCACAATCACCATTGAACCCTTGAAACAGCATGATATGCTAACGTTTTTTAATGTAAGTCAAAGCACTATCGCCAGCACAATTTCAGATGCACTCACCAAAAAGAAGGCCCTAAAAGTGCAATTAGTACTACAGGTGGAGATGGTAAAAACAAACCCAGCGACCGGAGAAAATATCTACGTCATTCCCCACTTTAGATCAACCCTTACCACCATCACCGAATCCACAGACCTTGAGTTGGAAATAGCATTTATGGTCGAGAAGGTCAAAGAAAATATGGCTAAATACATGCGTGAAGGTAGTGGGTGGACATTTGGTCATATTGAAAAGCTAGAAATCCACTTAAACAAGTTTTAAACCTATCAAAGGCAGTTCCTACATAGCATTGCCAAAACCGCTCGCTCAAAAGAAAGCTATCATCAATGTGCAGAATACTGATCAGGAATGCTTACGCTGGGCCATTCTTTCAGCCCTACATCATGAGGAAGTTGACAAAAACTGTACCAAACGGGTGGGTCAGTACAAAAAGTGGGCTGATGAGTTCAATTTTGATGGCATTGAGTTTCCAGTCTCGCTAAAGGCCATTGACAAATTCGAGAGGCAGAACACCGACCTAAACATTAACGTCTTTGGCTTTGACGGTGTAAAGAAGGGTGAAGATGAAGAAGAGGACCTCCAAATATATCCCCTCAGAATATCTAAGAATACAGGTTCGAGACATGTAGATCTTCTGTTCCTGACCAATAAGAGCAAGCAGCACTATTGCTGGATTAAGAGCCTATCTCGACTTTTGAGCTGTCAAATCTCAGAGCATGGTCATGAACTGTTCTTTTGCCGCAGGTGTTTGTCTCACTTCTCAAGACAGGATATCCTAGATGAGCATATGGAGTATTGCAGTCAGAAGGATGCAGTAAAGATCGAGATGCCAGAGGAAGGAACCCACATAGCCTTCCATAACCACAAAAAG